GGGGACGCAACAGTGGACGCAATACGCCAGTTTCCGGCAGTCGCATTGAGATGACCGAACAGATTTTGGGTTGGCTATAGAAAATACTTTATAAATCGTAAACTTAAAACAATTGTTAATTATTATGTACATTTGCAGACAAGGTGATTGCTCTCTATCCGTACAAAGCACAAAACGACGATGAGCTCTCGTTTGACAAGGACGACATCATCAGCGTACTGGGCCGCGATGAGCCAGAATGGTGGCGCGGCGAGCTGAACGGTCTCTCCGGACTGTTTCCCAGCAACTATGTGGGCCCATTTGTCACGTCCGGTAAGCCAGCGAAACTGAACGGCACTAAAACACAGTGAATCTCCACGAGAAACGACAACAAAATCCACAACCATGACGATGCTTTACACATAGTTTCATCCCCAACTCGCGCTCTCTCGCACACATTCCAGTTTATATTTTGTTTTTGCTCAACTTATATAATTTCTCCTGGATATCGAATAAGTAAAGCCAATTTGTTCTCGCCACGCCTAACGTCTTGAAAGCTAGTTTATCTTATGATGTTTAGTTCTAATTTGTTGCAATATGATGTAATTATCTGTATGTGTATATTGTTAATTGTTATTATTTAGTTGTTTAGCAATTATTTAATTTTAAGTTAAAAGTCCCGCAGCCCAAACACCTATGTATCCTTGTTAGCCAATCTTAAGCTTTAATTTGATATTGATTTGCATTTACATGCATATATACACACACATTATATATATATATTTATACATTTACCTTACGTACATCTTGTGTATTTAGTAGTCCATTGATTTTGTATTTATTTTGTGTAATTTTTTGTACTTTTACCTGCTATTATTTATACATTTATACACCCACATATGTTTATGCTGTATATAAAATCGAAAAACGAAAATCTAATTACAATATTATTTGAATTTTATACTCTTTGCACTGCGGCGCACAGGAAACGTATAACGAGCCATCGGGTTTGGTCTTTAAGCGACGCTAGGAATACGCCACAACAAAAATAACAACCAGGTCCGGTGGGATCCATAGTATTAAGTTCGTCAAAAAATGATCCAAAATCTAGTCGAAACTTAGCGAGCATTTAGTTCTGATTTATTTTCAATATTTTCTCAGAATCATATTCCATTCTAAGTGTATCAAAAGAACCTGATATATATTTTATATGCTGTTTTTTTTCTCGAAAAATTGAAGACTCGCTCTATTTTCTGGATTGTTATCTTTCGTTTTCATATTTTAAACAGCTTTTGAGTTTTATGGACGGATATTTTGGGAATTATTGAAAAATACTAAGGATTGATATTTTGTTTTTGGAAGTATTCCAAAGTTCTCCTACATCATAGAATCAAATGTGCAACTTTAATGGAAATCTCATATATGTAATCAATCAAATTACCATTCAAAATACAAATCGCAATCGAAATCAAGTTACATATAAACATATTTAAAAATCTATATATATATATACATATGAGATAAAACATATTTATATCAAAGGCAATTACAATTCTGTTCTATTAGATGTGTTTAAAGCCCAATGCATACATACTATATATCTAAATTTAAAGTGTTTTTTTCCCCAAGAGATATAAAAACAAAAAAATGAGAAAAAAAGAAAGAAATATACATATACTAACTACCTACAAAAATACACATATATAAAAATGGTTTTCTGTGTTTTCCAATAATATGCGCATGTATTTGTACATAATATATAACTAATATTAATTGTTAACTAAATACTAAGCATCAAAGACCATTCACAATTAAAAAAAAAAACAAAATTACTTCACGGAGGAGAAGGCTTTTAAGCACACAGACGACAGCAGTATTGGTAATAGTTATAACTTCTTCAATTTTGCTTAATAATATATATGTATGTGTATTTAATTTGTTTATAAAATTTAATTGTTTACTACTTTAAGCGCTTAATTCAACTGCCATAATTAAATTAGTTTGATTCATTTGCCAGCAAAGTTATCAGCAGCATTTACAGCGCGCATAAAATTTGCAAGCAGAGTTGTCAGCAGCATTTACCGCGGGGATAAAAGTTGATTAGTGTATTGTAAAAAAAAAAAAGAAAACAAAAACAAAAGCGAAAAAACTATTGTATAAAACGCGTTCGATTTGAATTGCAATTAGCTACATATAAACATAATATTGAACATATATATACTCTATTTATACAAATAGCTATATTATGTTATGTTCTGTTGTTAGTCCTAAAATATATATGTATTGTATCTATGCTATATCTACAAAACACACTCTCGATTGCCTTTCAAAATGATAACCAACATATAACATGATGAAATTTACTCGTAACTTGTTATTGCATACAAAAAAAAAAAAAAAAACTATACATATGCATCTATAGGCCCTAAAACTACTTAATAAAAAGAAAAAGAAACCCGAATCAATTAACCAAAAAAAAAAAAAAAACACACGCTGCTAAATGCTTGCCCGAAATCGAAATTCTTTTCTGTTTTCGCAAGTGTTTAGCTGAGACATATTTACATATGTAGCTATATTGTTGGGTTGATTATGAACTATTAAAAAAGAAAAGTAATATGAAAGCTATATAAATATTTAGTAAATACTACAAATTTCTTTAGCAAAATGTTAAATAGAGGCAAAACAAAAAGAAAACCATTTCTGTTTATCTTAAGTATGGGCTGCGCACTTCTTATAGAGCCAAACACACACACACACACACACACACACACACACACACACACTTGCATACATATAATGCTCATATACGCGTATTTGTTTTAATCGTTAAGGCGTTCATGAATTTAACTAAGCAGTAAAAGAAATATACAACAAAAAAAAAGGAAGGAAAATTAAAAATAAAAGTAAATAGCAAAAATTGATATATGTACGCATCAGTGTGGCCAGCTTAGCTATTTTCTACATAAATGTAGCTATTTTCAGCTAAATTTCAAGCTAGTTTGGCTTTCTCTGGCAACTCAATGGGCAATTCAGCTTTTTAAATCTATTCTCAACACTGGTTTCAGTTAATTGCAGTTGGCAGCACTGGTGCGCATTAGCTAGCACACACACACTCACACAGACACACTTTAAATGCGAAATGATGACCATCGATATACATATTTACCTACATACTAACATACAGACATATGCATACATATACATATATACATATACATAACAAAATATGTAAGCTATGCACATGGAACTTGAACTTCTTGTCGGGAATTCTCGTTAATCGCATAAAAACAAAAATACATGCATAAATACATACTAACAACAAATATATATATATATATATATATATATACATATATTTAGAGAGAGTTCTTCAAGAAATGCAAAAATTAAAACAAAAATAATATTTAACATATTAAACTATATCAGTTTCAAATGAAATAAGATTATGAAATTACAAAAATAAAAAAAAAATATTAACACATATTTGGTGAAATAAATGTATAAACGGAATTTCAAAAAACAAAAAAAAAATATATATATATCTGAGCATTACGTGTACAATTATTTGGTGGCGGCTTCTCAAAGGGAACTCCAGAGATTTTGATTTAAATTTTTATGTGATTTCGATTAAAATTCAAATTAAAATATTTTTTTCTTTTTTTGAATTAAACTTGAATTTAAATAAACACTTTTTATGAGCTTTAGAAAAAAGGAAAATTCAAAGCCAAATAAAGTTTGACTCAACTGGAAACCACATCCAAATCAAATCATCAAATCTCTGGAAAACCGCATTTATTTTTTTTTTTTTTAATTTTAAATATATACAATTTATTGTTTGTTTTGGTTTTCGATTCTCTAGATATTCGTCTTCTGTACTTACGCAGTGCCCCGAACTGAAATCCAAGCAGCGCAGCAGACCGCAAAATCGAATCAGATCGCTCGACGTCCGCTGCAGCGACTCTGGCAGCACTGGCGCCAGCAAGTACCCGCGCCCAGCGTTGCCATACCGGACGAACGATTGCGCGGCAAAGTGCAATCAGTGCACATATCAAAACGCAGCAATGGCCAATTGATGGGCTGTGCCTATGTCACGTTCGAGTGCAATGAGCTGATGGCCAGGGCCATGCTGCAGGAGGATCAGGATAATCGTCTACTGGGCCGTGACGTCATCATGGACTGGCAGCTGCCCAAGAAGCGCAGCAGCACGCAATGGCGCTGCTGGTGCTGACCTCTCGCCATTTATAATAATTAGATATATACATATATATATATTTAAAATTATTTTTAGTTTGCTTTGATTTTCGTTCGATTTTTATTTTTAGTAAAATTCTCTTAGACAATATTTAAAATCAGTTTAACAGTTTACAAGTTTTTTTTTATTTATTTTGTGTTTTGCTAAATATTTTGGTGAGTGTTTTTTTTTCATTTTTCAATTATTTTGTTTTATTTTCCCGCTATATTTATGTCCAGTTATTTAATTAATTATGCACAACTTAAGGCCTACAGTATGAAAATTGCAAACTAATTCAATTTTCTTCTTGATTTTGTTTAATTGTATTTTTTTTCAATTTTAGTTTATGCTCTGCAGCAAATTTAATTTATGAACTGGCGCTTTTTATATAAAGTGTCAATTTTTCAATTTTCATCCGATTTATCTGTGCATAATGCTTTATTTATATAGAAAACGCGCTCATAGTTAACACAGCTCTGATTTTATTTCTTTTAAGTATTTTTTTTTTTCATAGATTTTTGTTTTACTTTTAAGTGAAATGACAATTTACAAGAAATGTCCATGCAATTTCTTGTAGCTGTTTATTGTCTTTCGTTGAAATAATAAAAATATTTTTTAGTTAACTAAACACAGTTTTTCTTTTGTGTTTTTGTTGTTAGTTAGTTGCTGACAATATAATTGGTATTATGCCCGATTTAATTCAGCTTTAATGTGCATATTTAGAAGGCAATTTGTTGGATATACTCACATAAAGAATCACTCAGGACAAATAAGAAGTACAATTTCCTACTAAGCATGTGAATTTTACTTTTATTTTGTAGGTTATGTTTTACTTTTGAGGTTAGGTGAAAAAAGTAAATGGCTACCGGTTTGATATATCGACTACATATTGAACATATTGAACTGCAAATTTATGGGGACTCCCGTGTTCTGCTCATACAGTCGAAAATTCACGCATACTTAGACGTTAAGATTTACTCTCGTGCTACACATTTCTCATTAGTTTGTGGCTCGTAAATGTTTACAAAAATAATTTATAAATTACACAACTCTTGCTAAATAGCTATAATATATTATTATTTAATATATATAGGTATTAACTTGTATAGTTTTGCTTAGAAATAGATTTCTTATGTATTATTAAATGTAGCTCTACGACTTCAGGCGGCTAATTTCCGGTTTACTTTATACACGCTACGTTAAGTACGACTAAAATTGAACTAAATACTGCAGCAACACAGTTATAATTATCCATATAGATATTATAAATTTGTCTAAACTAAAAGCAAAAGACAATTCACGGACACACAGCTAACTAAGTGTTAGGACTTAATCTGAACTTTGGCTAAATTGTTAATTGATAACACAATTGTTTCTGGAACACATTAGCATTAGGCTAGCTTTAAATACAGTAAATACATTATAAATAGATTAGTTTATCATTTGAAGAATTTAAATGGTTCGAAGCAGCTGAAAAAATTCTGTTTAACTTATAGTTTGTGTGCTAGACGTACGTACAATCGTTTTGTTTTTCTTTCTTTTCTTAAATATCCTTGCAGATCCTAACTATCCAACTATTTAACGGACCATGTTAACTGTCTGTGCTGTGAAGTTAGCCTGCTGAAATTTGGTTTAGAAGCATATTTTAGTTACAGGTGGTATGCATAATCGGAGTTGGCCTGATCGGAACACTAAATCATATATCTACGTGAATGAGACACTGTTCACTTTTAAAATATTCTTAACATAATTTTCATGTTAAATATTTACCATGCTCCTTATTTCTGGATTGAGTCCTGTTATTATCGGATACCATATACCACATAGCTAAGAATAATAGGACCTCTATATCATATAGCTGCTATAGGTAGAAAAGGTCGAACGTGAAGTTCTTGAATGAGAAACTTTTCGTTTTTCATGTTAAATATTTATCATGCTTCTAACTTCCCGCTAAAATCTTATAAGTATCAGACGGGCATTACGTATAGCTGATAGGAATAATCGCTCGAAAAATGGAAAATCTCTTCCGTTTTTCAAATAATCGTATGTTAGACCCTTTTCTTATCTACAACGGATCAATATATGATAGAGCTCTTCTAGAAATAATCTGTAGGTTTTTTGAAACATTATCCGCAAGGTTATTTAATCCTCGGCAAGCCGAAGCTTTCTATGCTCTTTTGTTATATACAATTTTTGTTATGGGATTAATTATAATATAAAGCTTTCTTATTTTTTGTTTTAAACCATTTTCAAAATGTTCTTATATACATATACATAATATATATGTGTCAATTATATTCATGTGGATAGTTAGGTAATCGTTGCCGAACTCAGTAGAACATTTCGTATTGGAAAAGACGCCTGGATCTGGCGCGAGTCCTCCAGCTGCTTGACCCTCAAATGATGCTCTCGTCGTTGTTGCGCGTCAGGCGAATTGTTGTCGTCGTCGTCGTCGTGGGGGGTGGAGCTGGTGCGGCTCCAGCTGCAGCTCCAGCTGCTGCGCCATGCCGTCTGCCCAGCTCGTGTGGGCGTGGCGTTGCGGGCGTTGTGAACGTGGTGACGACAATGTTCTCATCGTCATACAAATCAAAATCCTCGCCCTCATCATCATCCTCATCCTCCTCCTCCGTGTCCGTGTCCGTATCCTCGTAGTCCAGCAGCGCGCTCGTCACTTGATTTCTGCCGCCCCCCACGCCCACAGCCGAACCGCCCACCGCGCCAGCGTTCATGTGCCGGATCTGGGCACGCGGCGTGTTCGTCGTCGCGGCCAGACGCGGCAGCAAAGGTTCACGTCCGGCATGCATTACTTTCGCGGAGGCCGAGGCGGAGGCGGCGGCGGTGCCAGCCAGCGGCACCGCGTCCCAATCATCGGCATCGACGGGCTCGCAGAGGGACTTGGAGTGGCCGTGCTGGTAGCTGGACTCCTCGGGTATTGTGTCGCTGAGATTGTGTAATTTTGTTGTTGTTGTTGTGTGCAATGGACGTGAAGAGAAGTCGAAGAAAGTAAATGTCAATTGTGCGTTCAATTTTGAATCGAAGTGAATGCGAACTATGATCGGGGTCTACATTGAGGCAAAGTACAACTAACATAATTATTTAACTTTAAAGGGTCTACATCAAAATGGAACTAACAATAACGAATAAAAGTACTTAGAAGACAACTTCTTACGATTATCATAGAAAACACCAAAAAGGCAGAACCCAAATGAGAACAAAGCAAAAAGAAATAGTAATAAGTTATATACAATAATATAAAGCGTAAGCATTAAGCGAAAGATTTAAAAGCTTGGTTTAAAAGTGAGAGCAGAAAACACAAAAAAGCAATTCTAAAATACAATTTATCTTTTCTTCAAAAAAATACTTTTAGGCACAGTTAATAACAAAAATAACTGCCAGCAGTTCCTTAAAAATAATAACTAATTTTTTTAGCTTTTTTTTTTTGTTGGTTAGTTTTCATTTAAAAGAGGTTCAAGTGCAACTGATTTTGCTGATCTACAATAAAACAAAATAAAGCAATTTATGCAAGTTAAATTAAATTACATGTGGTTTGGTTCACGGTTTGAACCGGTTCCTTGCCCATAGGTTCGGTTTTTGAACCGGATTTGGGTTCAGAACTTGCCTTTTTCTATTTATTCTATTTATAAATGAAACTATTTTCTGTCAAATTGCTTTTAGCTTTGGTTTTTAGTTCAGTTCACAACTCGAACCAGTTCCGCTTCCATAGGTTCGGTTCCCGAACCGGTTTGAACTCAAAGCTTGGCTTTTCCTATTTCTTCCATATTTGATGGATTCTTAGTTTAGTTTACGGCTTGAATCAGCTCGTCTTTCACAGGTTCGTTTTGTGAACCGAACTTGGTTTCGCCAATTTTTTCTATATTTTAATGTAACTAGTTTCTGATAATTTTCGGTTTTGTTTTTAGCTTTGGTTTTTAGTTTCAGACTTGAACCGGCTTAGCTCAAAACCGGTTTGTAACCTAGCTTTTCCGTAATTTTCGATAGAGAAACGAGACAAACTTAAATATTTGCAGACGGAATATCTGTCTGTTTTACATTTTATGCTCTATACTATGAACAGCTAATCAGTTGCAGGAGTACCCCTAACATCGCGCGCATAATAGTTACATTTGAGGGGTGCTTAGCACAGTCATGAACTGCTTGATAATTATATTAAGCGAGCCAAAATACTTACACATATTTATGAATATATAAGTATATATATTTATGAGCCAAAAGCCAACATATACTAGACTTTCATAACAGCTCGACTACTGTTCAAATATTTTGTGTATATATTTTTGTATATTATTTATGTGTGGTGTGTGTTTACTAAGTGATTGATGCGTTTGTCTGTGGACTATACAGCTACACGGACTCAATGGAAACGGCGCTAAAAATATAATCAAAATTATAAACAAAGAAAAATATTGTTACCCAAAAAAAAGAAAGCAATTAACAATTTTGATAATATAAGCAGATGTGCAAAATTGTTTAGTAAAACGCTTAATGTTCATGTTAAAGTACATGGTAAATGTTTAAAAATTGCATTGCGTTTAGTTAAATATATGTGAGGCGTTAAGTAAAAGAAACAAAACGGAAAAACAGGCTTCTTTAAAAAATTGGATGTTCATGTTAGGTACATGTTAAAGTGCATGGTAAATATTAAGAAATGGCATTGTATGTTGTCGTGGCGTTTAGTAAAGGTAACAAAGCCGAAAACGAAGCGTCTTTTAAAAACTAATAACATTATTATTTTTCATGTTTAGTACATGTTAAAGTACATGGTAAATCTAAGAAAATTGTATTGTATGTTGTTGAGGCGTATCAACAACAAAAAAAAAAAAAGCTTCTTTTCAAAATGCACATGTAAAACATTTAGTGTTCATGTTAAGTACATGTTAAAGTACATGTTAAATATTAAGAAATTGCATGGCATTTGGTTAAATGTTTTTGTGACGAATAGTATAGGTAAAAACACAGACTACTTTTCAATTATAAAATAAATTAGTAAAAAAAATTAAACTAAATTAGAATTAGGATAGAAAGTTGCACCAATTTATTGACTTCCTGCCTGGTAAACTATGAGTCACATTTCTGAATAATGTACTTTATGAGTGCGAAATGAATTGATGCCAATTGCCAGAGAAGTTGAAAGTTGCAAGCTAAAACTAGCTATATCGGTATTATATAGAATTCATATAGGGATAGACTAAACTGATATCGATTCAGTGAACTTTACGAATGATTTGCATGAACTGATCTTGTACTATATACAAACTATGCAGTTAGGGATCATAAGTGTTAGTTTCTTGTCTGGTTTGACGATATACGATTGGTTGAAATTCGACATTGGCCGGCTTTAGTTGTATTTTGATTGCCCATTTTATTGTTTTCTGTTTGGTTTTTAATGGGTCACTCGGATTACTTGGAATAGTATGTAGCTCCGCTACTCTCCGATGTTGGGGAACTGTAGTTGGTTGTTGACGAGTTGCTCGGGGAATTAAACGTTGCCGTGGTTGTTATTAAATTAGCCGAGTTGCAATTGTTGACAGTGCTTGTTGTTGTTGTTGTCGATATTATTGGTTTGATATTGGTAGCAGTTGTTGCTGTTGTTGTTGTTGTTGTTGTGGCTGTTGTGGCTGTTGTTGTTGTTGTGTTCTCTAGCAAATTACTAGCTCCCGGACTACAGAGCAAAACTCGACTGGGTCTGCGTCCAGTTGCTATGAGTCTGCGTCGAGCATTTGGGTTTTTTTTTTTTTTTGTTTGGAAATCGAATTGAGAGCACACAATTAAAGTTGAGTATTATAAATGAAATTATGGCAAAAAGGTACGCACAAGTAAGAGCATACATATTCAAATGCATAAGCAAACATTTTTGAAACTGAAAAGCTGTTGAACGGGACGCGGGGATTTGCGAAATATGCAGCAATTTATCACAATTTGGGCGAGGAATTTGTTGACAAAAAAATAAAAGTAAAACATAAATTTCTGGGTTTCTTCTAAAATTAATTTAAATATTTTGAATTATTTTGTGTATTTTAGTACTTTCATTATTAAAGCTTTTGAGTTAGCAGAGGTTAAGGTTTACTTTATGCTATTTTTTTCATGCGAGGTTCTAATTTTCTTCTTTTTTTTTTTAACAAAAAAGGGATCCATAACGTTTTTCTAGGAATTTTTTTAGTGTCTGCGCAAGCGAATATCTTTCTGTTAATATGTAAAAAAACTATTTTTGAGGAATAAATATATGAAAATTTAATAAGCTGAATTATTTTATTTAAGCTTGCTGCGATTGAAAACCAAATAGGATTCTATTTATTCGAGCTGTCTATTGAAAGTTTCTAAGAAAAATATAGTTGAAAAATGTCGGCAAAATAAAGTCAGATCTTCATAAGATATGTCAGGACTATCGATGAAACAAATTATAATATTGGTTTTGATGTCCATAGTAAATAATTCTTTTTTGATATATCTCGGCTTAACAAAGGTCGGGAATGATAGATTATTTTAGACTCATGGATCTCGACTATTAAATGGCGTTCAAAAAAATCACACTCCAAGTTTTGACAAATTTGAAAATGAGGTCAAGCGATTAAATCACAAATTTGGCTGAAATGCTAAGATATTCAATTTATGATTCAATTTAATTCTATAGACAAAACCGAATGATATTTATTTATGAGTTTAATTGGAATATTTCGGGTGGATATCTTCAGATTTTTAAATTATATACCTTTTCTAAAATAACCTTTAAGTTATACTTTTTATAATAAACGATTAACAAGCTGCCTGATACAAAAGAGTACAATTACAGCAGCTAGGTACAGCTAGGTACATTGATCTAGGTACATGGCTATATGTACCTATTGGTAGACTTTCATGATGATATTTATCCGCTTAAGGATTTCAAAAAAAGGTTTTAATTTGAATATCTCGTGTAAATACCTTTAGATTTTCGAATCATATAATTTTGAGCGAAACCCATAAATTATAATTTTTATGATAAATGATTAAGAAAGCTGCCTTACAATAAAAAAGAGTACAAGCAGCTGCCCTTATTACATAGACAATATAATATTTGATATTCGAATGAATGAAAGCTATGCAAAGTCTTATAAATAAACAGATCCACACTTAAAAAAACAAGCACAGAAACGAAAAACGGAGTACATAGTCACATGCAGGGCACATTTTAGCAACAAAGAACAGGACACACACACACTTAACTGTGCTCGCTGTGTGTGCGTGCGTGTGTGTGTGCTGGTGGGTGTGTGTGTGTGTGTGTGTGTGTATGTGAGTGTGTAACAAGGACTTACCCGCTAAGCTCCAGCATTGAACCGCGTCGCACGTTACGGCGATGGCTCGCCGTGACCGGAAACGGACCCGTATGTCCGTCCGGGCCGACCAAATGGGCGCCCAACGTGCCGGACGATATGGACTGCGATCGATTGTCCAGCCGGGGATTGTGCATCGATGTCGATGGCAGCTGAATCAACGGATTGATGGCATTTATTGTGGGCACAACCATCAGATCCTGGCTGGCGCTTGCGGCGTCCACGGCGCCGCTGCCGAGGCTGCCGGCCTTCGAGCTGGAACTCTCGCGACGGAACAGACCTATGACGGACTTGGGCTGTTTAGGCTTGTTTATACCACCTGTCGGGGTCGTGGGTGGGGGGGCGCACAGTTCCAAGTATACAGGTGTGTATCGAAGTGTGTGCGTGTGAGTGTGTGTGTGTGTGTGTGCGTGTGGGCGACAGTTACCAAAGGATAAACAATGCGGCAAAGAGAAGAAAACACAAAGTTCAGGGAAATTAACAAACAAAAATAACACAGAAAAAACTACAAAGTGTTTTTTACAAATATCCAAAAAAATTTCACTTAATTTTTACTCGCGAATCAATTTTTTTTTTTTTTTAGTTTTATTTTTTTTTTGTGCACTTAAGAAACACAAAAGAAAACTATATAGATAGATATTTACTTATGTACACATGTAATTTGTGTTATTTACACATGTTCTTCATCTTTTCGGCAGAGTTTCTTAAGGCCAATTTTCAATTTTCAATTCAAATAGCAGAAGAGTTTGTAAACGGAGACGGCAACTGTACATTCAGTGTTGGGAAACGTATACGTTGCCGCCCATAACTCAGAGCTGCGCCAGTGTTGTTAAACGCTTGACAACTGTTCAGCTTACCTAAAAACGTGGCGCTTGGCGAATTGTAGGCCAAATACTCCTTGTTCGAGGCCCAGGCGGGGAATTCATTCTGCTGCACTGCGTCCGTCGACTCGTCGCCTCCTCGCTTCCATGGCAGCTGCGATTCGGTAGCTGTGGGCGTGGCCACTCGACGTTCGCCATCCGAGTCGCGCGACAAATTGCGATCCTCTTCGGGTATCGGATGCTCGGCCACTGTGTAAGATAAATTGCGAGTGGTAAAGTGTTAGAAAATTCGAATATTTGTTAGCTTTTTCATGCATGCATCACGCGTTCAGCTTAAGCTCAATTATCGATAACTACTAGAAATATCGAAGAAATGGTAGGACAAGAACAAAGTGTGCTCAACTTAAATGCAAATCAAGTTCCGTTAAAAACAGTGTTCAAAACGAATCGAAATGCCGAGTGGCAAGGCTGCGAGCCAGTGCTGAGCAATGAGCTAGACTTCAAAGGAAGCCCGCTATGCGGAAGCTTGTTGAAGAGCCGCCTTAAAGTTTCAGGCTTGGATAAATGTGGGTCGCAGCCTAAGCCAGTATTACCCATTCTTTTTTTATGTATAGCAAATAATGGGTTATGTTCACTTTCACATCGCATGTGTTTTTCAAAGTTCTTGGACACAACGAAAATAAAAATATGCTTGACAATTGCGAATTATAGAAGTTTCTTAAATTTTAAATATTTCAAAAACACATGCGACATTTGATTTGATTCGTCTTAGCTTAATTATGATAATAATAACAATTAGCCTGATTAAACAAATACAAACAAATGTTGGGACTGGGAATGCTAATGGATAAGTTCTGTTGTTGTTGTTGTTGTGTAATCGCGACTTTTAACTTAAGAGGTTGTATACGATTCCGGGATGGCAACAACAAAACACTTTGTCATGCACAAAAATGCCATGCTGCTTTTCGCTTGAAATGTTTTTTTCAATTGGTTTCTCATATCAAAGGTGAATTTCAATTGATTTGCGTAACATTATGGTTTTGCTAAATGTACTGAATTTTGGTATTACTTTGTCAGATGATCGCCTATTCTTATCGTTAATGTATGCAACTACGAGAACTACAAGCTGTTCTGCATGTTTTATTTTTTTTGTCTTGAACAAGCAATTTAGCGAATGTTTTAGCTAAACAGTCGCTTGATAGACATTGATGACAACTATTTATGACAGCTAGATAACATTGAAGATTATTACAAAATACTTAGGTCCGTTTTATTGTGCTCCAATTAAAGTTGGTGTCTGTTCAACTTCCGTTGTATTTAAAGATCTGGCTGATAAAATTTAACAGGCAGTTTAACCACTTGGTAGACATTGAACATAAAGATAGCAACATGGTGTTGTCAGCTGTTATTTACGTTTTACTGTTTAAGTTGATAAAATGTACCAGACAGTTATTCGAGTTAAATAAATAACATAAGATAGATAGGACGGTTATGCCATCTGTACTTTAAATGAAATTGATTTAGCTGATAAAATTTACCAGGCAGTTGATTCACATTTTAAATATTTGACATTAAGATAGAAACACTATGTTGCCATTTTTTATTTACATGCAATTTATCTAGCTGATACAATTTGCCAGGCACTTTATTAATATTTTATTTACATGAAACTGAATTATAGACTTAAAGATAACAATGCAGTGCTGCCATCTATTATTTGATTTTCTCTGATTGGCATTAGGATAGCAGCACAGGGCTGTCTTCTGTAATTTGACTGTTACTGACATGAACCTTAACGGGAGCTTAATAAAACGGGCCTTATTAACAAGTTGGGAATTACCAAAGAAAATAAATAAATAAAAAGCAACAGAAATAAACTCGGTATAGCTTAAATAGCGGCTTGAAATGCTTAGCACAAATAACGATTGTACAATCAACTTCTCTAAGATTATGAGACATTATACGATTATAATGGCTTTTATTTTGATTTAAATACACAGAAATTTTTGTGTGTTTAGATTTATTTTTTATGTGTGAGCAATGGCAAACGAATGAATGGAGATGGGCTTTTGAGAGTGAAAGAGAGAAGCGATAAAAGAGATAAGTTTACGCAAGCAGGCCAGTTGATAAGGAAATTATGCCAGAAATTCTCTTTGTCTGGCTGGAAGTTGAATAAACTTTGCACTTATTCTTTTGCGCTTCTCTCTGCAATTTAGTTTGCTGAACCAGTATGAAAAATACGAAAAGGCATAAAAATGCATTACATATAAAAGTATATATCGGAATCTAAGTATTTAACTGGAAGATAAAATTTTCCACTTCGGGATATATTTTGTTTACAATTTTGGATTGTATGTACAAGATATACTGGCAATATTTTGTACATTTGTAACTAGAATTTAAATGAGGAGGTGAAGTTATCAACTCGAGCGGGAATATTTTTGGATGTTGTACAGATGTTTATGCATATCAGAGATGGATGATGGGAGTATGAGATGTCTCTGGATGTGAATATATAAAATTCGTATAGCCAATGCATCAGTGTGTTTTATTATTTCGTTTTTGTTTTTTTAGATAATTAGGATTCTTGGTAGTTGTGTTTTTTGATATTGTTTACCAATGCTCTGGTATGAACGATCCCGTCGCCAGGGCAGGATCAGTTCGGCCGCTGTGGGTCCAACTGACGGATCGGGCGAGTCTAGATCTTGCTGATCGTCGTCGAGCTTGGGCGCATAATGCTGAACGATGCGCGCCTTGGATGCATCGAAACCGGGCAGGTTTTGAATATGCGCTATCAGGGAGTTATTATTGGCGCGATCCGAGTCAGCTAATTGTGTGTTACAGTTTATCGGGGGCATATCGAGCAACATATTGGTTATATGTTAAATCAAATGAAATTGGATAGGCATAAAATAGGGATATAAAAAACAAATATATAGAAAATGTTGTCGTTATATAGCTTTTATTTAAATCTAAATTCTCTTAGGCAATTTGCGTTCAAAAAAACAACGGAAGTATACAAAATAAAACAGAAATCAATCAAATAATCAAAGAGTCTAGCAGAAGCTCTGGCTCAACAGTTGATCTGTTTTTTTCGAGGCATAAGAAAATTACAAATTAAAAAAAAAAACAATAATAAAAAAGAGTTTGTCTAGAAACAAAAGTTGGCTACTTGATATAACAAATAGCTAACATCTTTTTACACAATTAATCGTACAAAATGTTTACAAACTTTCTTAACTTTTTCTTTATTACTGTACTTTAAGCTGTTGTGTCGCGCACATTTCTTGTACAGAATCATATGAAATATAGTACTTGATGGCATTTTTGTGTAGTCAATTGTTGAGATAAAAGTATAAAAATGGAAAAAGACACGAGTCGGTTATCGCTATATAACCACCGATCAGGCGTTCAGTAAATATATATCTCTAAAAGGTTCAACTGATAAATGATAAACAATTAAATCGGATAATACTCGATGGGGCAATAGCCCTATTTGTAAAATCGCATACATAAACTGGATATAGCCAAAAAACATATAGAAGCTAATGGAACTTACGTGATGATTTTGCGGTAAATGTGAGACCGTCGTCCCAATCGTCGCTGGGTCCAATCACATTGATCTCATTCGGATTCTGCGGGCATTCCTCGGCTGTTTCGTTAAGCATATCGTTAATATAGTCTTTATACGATAAATCATATCGTATAATATATGGCACACAGATAACAGTGTTGTTAAATACAAAATGAGGCAGTGTGGAAAATGCGTGTTGTCAGTGTTGTTAAATGTGCAGAAATTTTGAAGTACAGTTTTTTTTCGATACAACCAATTTATGTTTTTTGTTTTCATCGGGTAGGAAAGCGCGTGTTGTAGGAGGAAGATAAAAGAAAGTTTTGGGTTTTCTCAATTAGTGACCAATTTTTGTTTTTTCGTTAAAACTTAAAACTTATTTAAATTATGATTAGTAACAAAATGTGTGGGATTATGTAAATGGGGGCTCGTAAAGTTGTAAATGAAAAAGGAAAAAATTTGTTTGAAAATTTTGGTTTGGTTTTATGTCTTACGAGCCCCAACATGCTTATTAGAAACTTAAAATTAATGAAGTGCGGGTTAATGAATAGTTATAAATTACTTAGATTTGGAGAGAGGAAATCATGCTACGGAAAAGCTGAGACTACACATCTGGGATGCTGTCTATAATGTAACTAAAAAATTAAAATTTTTTGGTATAGCTTTCTACAGCTACAACTACATTGGGAGTAGTTATTTTTAATAAAATATTTAATTGCTGTAAATTGTCTTTTTTTTTTTTTAGCGGCATTTACCTATGTCTAATCTACGATATTTGTTAAGTGAATTGTGAGTATGTCTTTTTCTGTAAGATTTTTTGCGTGAATGGTTTGAACTCGAATTCGTATTCGTACCATTGGAGAGCTGCTTGGTGGTGCCGTTCTGTTGGAAATCATGGAACGAGACATGATTCTGTTTAACATTCTCTTTGGGCTCCTAAAAGTGTAAATTAACAGATATATTAGATATATATATATATATATATATATATATATATGTATATAAGGGGCATTCGCTTACCTTGTTGCTGGCGCCACGTTTGCTGCGCTTGTGATGTTTCCGATCGTTGAACATGCGACGGAAATTCATTTGCATTTTATAATTGACCTAAAATTAAACACACAAAGACATATGTTTTCAATACAATATTGTTTAATTTCCATAGTATTGAGGTGCTCTCAGAGATTTGTCAATGTGTTCGACTCACCTGTGTGGACAAATCTCTGTCATCTACTGCGTGTCGGCTATAACTAAGACGACGGTGCTGTAAGGAATATTACGAAAGCACATTAAATGCCATATTATAAATGGTGTTTGTTTTCTTTTTTTTTTTTTAAATTTATTTGACAAGTTATACGATTAATTGTAAATTTGCTGCTAACTAGCATAAACAACAATTGATTAGGTGAATAAAGACGTCTCACAACATTTGTACAGCTTACATATACATTAAGATAATATGCTCTGAATATGATTGAATATATTTCAATTTATAGATTGTTATTAAAGGGCGTGCTTGTGGGCACAGCAAATGGAGGTGCACTTCGGCCTGGCCGCAGCGAGAATACTCTTTCCAAAATATAAAGAATATATAGCATATATATAGAATATATCCAATATTCATTTTTTGTTGGTTTTTAAGTAATAACACACAAAGTTATTTAACAATTAGATAAACTGAACAGTTTTGCTAAATTTGAACCGGCGACTTCTCGCTAGTTGACTCGAGGCGCAAAAAAAACGGATGCATTTCGATTTTTTCTCCCACAACAAACTTGTATTTTGAAAAGAGTATATTTTTGGATAAGGGATTTAAATTGCAACACAACATTTAGGTATATACAAATATATATATAAATATAAGTATATTCTTGTTGGTAAAAAGTGTGTGCTTTACAGGATCTAGCAAAAGAAGAAGATTAGTAAAGTAAATTGTTAGAAACAAAATTCAAATAAATGTAACAAGCAAACCCGAAAAAAAATTGATATATGTGCGCATTTCAAAATGTTTTTTGCTGTGCTGCAAACGAGTTTAATTGGATGTTAAGTGTTGAACCTGATATAATTGTGATGTTTCGCAATTTTAGATCAAATCGCCAACTACTCTAATACATTTATAATGGAAGATGAACCTACGGTTCCACAATATGTTCAATATTATGGAAATTATAAGAGCTTACAATTTTTTTTAGAAATATTTTGAATATTTGTAAGTCAAGTCTTGAGTTTTAATATATATTTGTCTAGCCTGCAAAAACTACTTTGAAATACTTTTAAGAAATAAAGAATAGTACCCAAACAATTATAATTTGCTATTAAAGCATTGTTAAAGTATTAATAGTTATAGATTAAACAACGCTATTCTGGAAAATTCACATATATATATTGTATATCTCCCTAATAGAAACATGTTCTGTGCTTGTTTGATGTACAATGAATGGAAATGTTTTTGAAAAACTAATAAAAATGAATTTGAGTTCTGAGTTTAAGTTCTTATCAAATTGAATTTAAGTATACATAGATTTATTTGAGAGTTGTTAGCCATTTAGAAAAAAGTTGATTATCAATACGATTTGTTTGTTTTATAGACACCAATTATACATTAAGATATTGACTAGAAACTGTAACTGTTAATTAATTAGTATAATTAATGTTATTAATTATATGCATTACAAAAATGTCTTGCAGTCATTAGTACAGACACACAAAAACGTGTAACATATACAGAAACAAATGTTTATCATTTTAATTGATTATTAATTAATTTTATTTTTTTTTGTAATAAAAGAAAGAATAAAATGAAAATTAAAGAAATTCTTAAATCAGTTGAACCAATTTATTCGTACCATTTGTATGGAAGCCTTTCGTTACGAAATATTTGAATATTTTGTACAGTTTCGTAAAATATTTTCAAAGCACACAAAAATTTGAAGTAGTTTTCGAGATATTTTGTATTATTATATTTTTGACGTTGACGAGAAGTTAAAGTTGAAGTTGAGTTCGTAACAACGGGAAGAAATCAAAGAAACGATTAATTACAAATATATCTAATTATATAGATATAGTCAGCATATATATGTATATATAGAGAGAGTGAGTAAGAGATATATATATAAAGAGAGAGAAGGAGAGAGAGAGAGAGAGAGAAGCGTGTCTCAAAACGAAATGCCCAAAAAGGAAACTAAGGTGGAAAGCATAAAATACAAATACGACTACGAGGCGTCAAGTATTTTCGGTGATATGGATTGGAATTGTGATATATATATCATATAGGTACTCAAAAACTTGGGCCGTGTGTGTGTGTGTAAGAATATGCTATAAGATATATAGTAGTTGTAGTAGTTAAAACTGTCACTGCTATATTATAGAAAACCAAACCAAAATCGATTATTATGCTGAAGGTGCTCAACTCGATTGCGAGCTGCATACGTACCCTTCTATATGGCTTTAGTTCTTCGGCCAGCAGATGGTGTATCTTGGCATCTGTCAAATCCTTTTTGGATGGATTATAGTCCAGTTCGGCCATGTCCAAGTTGTGGGAGCACGAGTTGTCCAGATTTGTCAGGCTGGGACTATTTGAATGGAGCAGACACATGGAAATTAATTAAACGAAAATATATTCCTATATATATATAGAGATACTACCAAGTTTTAAACAAAGATACAGATAAACGAATTTTAGATATGCAAAAGTTCTTTAAATATATATATATATATATATAAAGTGTAGAAGAGAGAAGTATTTTTGGAGTGTAGAAATTGGGGGCCAATCCGGTAATTATGTTAATTTTTGTGCTAAATTTTTCATGCCAAAAAAAAATTACTACAACATTTCGTTTTAAATTTCTTGCATACATGCATTGTACGGCTATTGTTATCGATTATTAATTATCGATTATCGATTATCCAAAATTCGTTTACCAGGTGGTGTATATGGTTGGCGGTGCCCACCTGCCGCCAATATAATTATTGGTATAATTCCTAAACAATGCACTCATCGACTCGGTGCCCGTCATCTGGCCAATTGTCGACGGATTACGACGCATCACCTCCATGGCATCCCGCATGGTCAGCTTGGAGTAGGTCTCAATAATTTTGGGTTCGGCGCCCTGTAAAGCATAGAGAGAAGCATTGGGAGGGGAAGAAGTTAAGTATACTCAGCTTAAAAGTAAGATGGAATTCTGATACCTACCTTTAGATCTCTGATCAGCAGGGGGCGTATGAAGCGATTGTCGAAACGCTTGAACTTATCACGCACATTGTAGTTGCCCGTCTTGCCCACAATATCCTCAATGCCAGCCATCAAGTGATCCATAAACTAAAAGGATTCAAATGAGAAAATCATTGTATAAATAAGCAGGACTGATAACTGCCTGTTAAAGTTCATGTTAATTCATTTTCAGTAAGAGGTGCATTAGAATGTGAATTTATATCAGCTAAGATCTACAGAATCTATTAGCTTTTATCTTCCTTGTAAATATTTAACATACAGATTAAGTTACAAAATTCCTTAAAGTGATTCTGAATATTGTCAGCTAAGATCTATTAAATTTATTCTGAGCTTTAAGAATGAGTTTTTAACTTACACGCTCGTGAATTCGCTCGTTCATGCTGGGCTTCCGCTTGTTGGCTCGCTTCACGTTAAGAATCTTGACAAGTGGCTTTATGGTGATGCCTTGCACAAACACCGTAAAGTAGATCACAGCTATGGTTGTGGTCACATACATATTCTTATGCTTGACCACATTCTCATCGACGAGCAGGACGAGGGCAAAGGCAACGGCGCCCCGCAAGCCACCGTACGACATGACAAACTGATCCACTCGCGACAATTTGTGCAGTCGAAAGCGATTGGCAATGGCCGACAGCAGAATGACACCTGTACAGGTTGCAGTAAAGAACAGTCAAACATTCAAATGTGGAGCTAGATCGAATATACCCACCGATAACACGAAATATGGAGCAGAAGGCAATGGTTAGGATCACAAACCACGTATTCCATACGTGCATATTGTTGACGGTGGCCACGCCTAGGAACATAAATATAATCGTCTCCGCCGAACTGGATAACATTTTCAACGCATATTTAACAGTTGTATGCGACTTTTGCGATATATTCGACTCCACATAGTTCTTCATCGTAATGCCGCAGAAAGTAATGCTGGAGATAGGCAAGAAATAGAAGGACAAATATTTGGTTATGATAATGTTGCTATTTGTTGCCACAGATCATACTCACGCCAGAATGCCGCTCATGTGAAAGATTTCAGCATTTAGATATGCCAGATAGGCCATAACAAAAATAAATATGGGCTCTATGACACGCACATGATCCGTAAAACGTGTTAGCAGACCCGTCAGGAAGCCCCAAATAATGCCTGTAATATATATAAAATATTTATAATCAAAAATATGAAACTGAAAGTGTTCAACAAAGAGTCCCTGGTTCAATGCCCCGCAAAAATCTTATTAAATCAAACGTTGTTTTCGTTACATTTTTTTTTGTTTAATATAAATTTATATTAATTAAGAGAATCTGAACAGACGTTGTAATTAAATAATCACAACACATTTCTGAATGCGTCAAATAAATCAATTTGACATATAGGAAACTGACTCATCTGACCGCAAAAGCATTTATTATGGACTATATCTTCTTATTTGATTTATGTATATTATGCATTGTTGCTTTATATAGATTATATATGGCACTTACCTATGGCAGTTCCGCCCAGGGCCACAACGAAAAACGAGCCCACGCCGCTGGCAATGTCCTGCGCCATAATGTTGGGCAATCCGATCTCATTATAGACCTCCATCATGTGATACATGACAACCTGCAAGCATGCAACAGGCAATTAGTAATTGCACCTCGATTAACACTCAATCAAGCCACAAGCCGCATGATTTGATGGGCTTGTGAAACTTCCTGCGAATTACCCAATGAAAAAAAAAAACAAAGTAGTTGTACTTACCGTGACGGCATCGTTGAGCAGGGACTCGCCAAAGACGACAATGTAGAGGATCTCGTTGACGTGTATTTCCTCGAATACGGCAAGCACAGCCACCGGGTCGACGGCGGATATTAGCGAGGCAAACAGAAAGACGTCCAACAACTTGGGCGTCTCATCGCCAAAGACGCCGCACAGCCCACACGCGTAAAGGGAGCCACCTGCAATGCAAGGAGTCGATAAATCTCAACATTCTGCTTTTCAATTAATTGCGCTGTCAATTGCAGCGGGCTTGTTCACAGTTAATTGCACTAACTTGCTTAAAGGCGTTTTAATTGCATTTGCTCAAATGAAGTGTCTTAATTGATTTTCAAGTTTTAAATATCTTCTATGGCGAAATTACTTAAATTCATTAATATTTCAGAGCAAGGAAGGCTTTGGTAGAGGACAAAATAAGATAAATTAAATTAAATCTTAAATATTGTCAAGTTTAAAAAAATATTAATGAACAAATTATTTGTAGCATAACTAGTTCTTGGAATAAAATGGTGCGCTGCAGTTTTGGGTGAGGCTTTTCTTTATAAAACTTATCCCATTTATGTACAATTTAAGTTCCAGGCTAGTAGTAGTATAATTAGTAGTATTGATAGTTTAAGTAGTAATAGTAGTAGTAGTATTTCCAGTAGAAGTAGTAGTGGTAGTAGTAGTAGTAGTAGTAGCAGTAGTAGTAGTGGTAGTAGTAGTAGTAGTAGTAGTAGTAGAAGTAGTAGTAGTAGTAGCAGTAGAAGTAGTAATGGTAGTAGTAGTGGAAGAAGTAGTAGTAGTAGAAGTAGGAGTAAAAGTGGTAGTAGTACTGGTAGTAGTAGTAGTAGAAGTAGGAAAAGAAGTGGTAGAAATATAAGTATTACTAAATGTGCTAAATACAGTACTATGAGTCTAACTGGTTATACAATTAGTAGTAGTAGTGGGAATAGTAGTAGTAGTAACAGCATTAAAAGTAGTAGACGTGATAGTAGTAGTAGTAGAAGAATGCTAACTGTACTGTGAACTATACACCTTAACAGACACAACATTCCAAGCCGGCGTTTCAATTCGATTGTAGCCTAACCTAAATTAAAGCAAGTCTTGAAATAAAAATCCAGTTCGCCTCTGAGGTTTACTTTCCCATTATTCAAGGCCACATAAATAAATGTAACTCATTTGTAATTATAATAATATTGCTTTGAACTAGAACTGAGACTATTTTTATGCCTTCATACATATATATGCCAATCTGAAAAGTTACATAAATAAACATATAAATCGCATTCGTTATTATATCTGAAATTAATGAAATAATTTTTAAGCCCAGGTCTGAATTAATAATTTGCCAAACACAAATTTAAGCAGTTGTGTGTGTGCTTTGAAATTGACTTTCCCAACTTTTGACAAACATTAGCTGTAATAAAAAATCTCTTAGATCTGTAGATATTTGTTTGTTTTTCATAAAAATCACGTTAGATTGTTTTTATTTCTAACAGATGTGCGCCAACCAAGCGTAATGCCTCGTGCCTTCATCATTAGAGGAAGCCCCAACCCCACCAATTCCATTCCAATAGATGTATATCCCCATATATCCACATCAATCGCATGTTGTGTTACATTTTGTATAAATCACGTCTAAGCGGTCATCTACAACTGTCTTCCCTCGCCGCTTGGCCCCTGCTGCTCTCCAGGCGCTTGTTACCCTGCCCTTGGACAACATTGTTCGTTGTTCGCGTGCCACAAATTTTGATGTGTTTAACAAGCGCGTCGCCATTGTAATCAGTCCTAAGTAATGCTACAGATATATGTATTTCCAGTAAATTTGTTTACTTTGTCAGCGTGCGAAAAACACAATTGAAATGTCGTCAGTTTGGGGGGGAGCGAAATGCATTAACATAATATATGACTCGAGCTTAGTAACTATTTTCAAACATTTATTGTGAACACGAGAATGTGATGTCTGTTATATATGTAAGGACGAGTCATGTTCAAGGGTAGTAAGGTCTTGAAAAGGATTTAATAATAAATAAAATGTATATATTTTAAATTGATGCTCTAATGGCTGAAGTAAACGGGACTGTTCATATTGAAAAAAGGCCTTAGCCTTAATAGTAATAGTTTTATAGGGGGTTTTCACTGCTCATTTGATATTATTATTATTATAGAGAAGGCATTAAAATGAGTTTAGAAGAGTGGGCTGTTTTTATTATAAAGATGAAATAATTCGTATTCTTCTCAAGATTAAATTCAATCCTAATTTTGTTTAGAACTTTGAATAAGAAATCAGAGCTCTGTTGGGATGCCCAATAAGATATTCGGTATATTCCAAATATAGAATCCGTTTATAATTCCTAAAAGGTTCAAGCTAGAACTGAAATAATGTTGTTGATGCTGATAAAAATTCAGTACTACTCTTAAGCTTAGGCGCATAAAACTAGCAGACTGTGAAAAGTTAAAGAATCCCCCGATAAAGCTGTTTACTTCATTTTAAGGTCTATTGACATTGGGGAAACTGCGCTGTCATTGGGCCACTTGATGGATGAGTGCGAACCACACGAGCATCAAGTTTTGCCCCACTTTGGCTTCTACTCTTCGTTTGGGCCATGTTCCGCTCGTTGGCGACGTGTGCGATGACGCACCATTAAAATAATCAATTTAATGGAATACTCACCAATTGTGGCCACATTGAAGATGGTGCCAACCACGGCCATCAGCAGGATGGTGCCCAGATTATCGAAGAACATGCGATTCGGCATAAAGTAGCCCGCGTCCAATATTATCGGCGGCAGCATGTAAAAGAAGAACGTGTTCGGTGTCAGCGGCGAGACGGCAACATCTGTGCAGAAATAGAGAACAACGCCTATGGCCACGCCCACAACGATAAGTAGACAGGATTCCGGAAATATCAGATGCAATTTGGGCGTCATGTGAAAACCTGTGAAATGCAAAAAATTTAAATTAAGCAAAACAAAACATACAAAAACCAACACACAATAGCCACAAATTTGCATATGTATCTATGTGGGCGTCATGGGGCGTGGCGGACAAATACATTTACTAAAATTGCACAAAAGGTTTGTTTTTTCTTTTCATATTTGCCGAGTGCCTATAAAAACCGACACGAGAAAAACAATTTCCATTCCAACAATGGCACATTTACATGAAAATGTGAATATGCTCTCCGCACCGCCAGACACCCTTCCCCAATGGAGCTGCTCAACGATTATGGCTGATTCTTGTATTTGGGTCAATTCCTTTAATGGGGCCAAATATGGGTATACACAAATAAAACACTCTATGCTGAGACACGACACTTTAGAAATATATACGATAATGTGTGCTAAATTGTTTTTGAAACTACATTTTTATTGACTCGCGACGAAAGTTCTTAATATATATCTCCTATAAAGTGGATTTTTGGGAGAAGCTTTACGTTTGCATATATATGTATGCCTTATTGTACCTGCAAGCGTGCATGTTTTTTTTTTGGTATATATGCAAACATGCTTGCATGCGTACATGTATGAATACATGCCCAGACACCTACAGGCACACACACCTATATGCATGCATGTGTACATACAAACACATATATACATGCATGCAGACATATGTATATGTTTGTGTGCATGCCAGCATATTCATATAAATGCTTGTATATATATGTATGCATGTTGGTTTCTATTATGTAGACATACATACATACATACAAACACATGTACAGCATTGCATACAAAAAAAACCGACAAAAATATAAAAAAAAAACACTACTCTACCAGCTAAGCATGAAAAACTGCAGAGCCTAATTGAATTCTTGAGAATCGAGGAGAAGAGCACTCGGTAGAAATTAATTTTATTTCAATTTGCAGAACAGCGACAAATACGTTTGGTCTGCGTTTGGTATTAAAAAACAAACATGCATGCATACATATATACAGTAACACACACACGCCAACATACACCCACACACACACACAAACACACTCATATATAATACTTATATGCGTACAAAATACTTGTATTATTATATATTTTGTTTCATATGAGCTCACGATTATAAAATTTGTATAGAATCCTAACTTTATTTATTGCTATGTAGTTTATTTATGTATTCCATATATATATTTCCATATATAAATATATATTAAAAGAATATAATCATAATTATTATAGTTAATCTTTGAAAATCTAAAACTAAATAGAGGAAATTAAATACGAATCAGAATTGAATTCAAAATCGATGAGCAAAATGTTCATAATTATGAAAATTGGTTGACAATGGAAGTTAACAGAGAGCACATAATCTACAAAGCTATCAATGCTAGCAAAATGTTTGCACAGCTGAAAAAAGTGGCCCCGATAATTATGTAAGTAAGTAAGTAAGCTCACTTGGGGCAGTTGACAGACAGAGAGAGAGAGAGAGAGAGAGAGAGAGAGAGAGAGAGAGAGAGAGAGAGAGAGAGAGAGTAGGGGGTTCCTTTGCAATGAACCAATAAGTGAAGCAGTTGGCCTTCAGCAAATGGATTTTTGTGCAAGCCAAGCCACGAGCCGGCTAAAAGAGCGGGCCAACAAGATAGCAAAGTCAAGAGTTGAGAAAAAAAAAGAGCAGGTGCCAGTCAAAATCGAGATTGCAGCCAAATCGTTTATGCAATCTGGCAAATTGTTGCGCCCGGGGGTTTGGGCCTTGCTTTCTCGGGGGTGGTGGCTGCTGCTTTTTAGGGGCCAGTGTCAAGGCTTTTGGGCGCTTGTTGCGCCACTTGGCTGACTCTTATGCAATACCCTTCAGCTGCACACCTAAGCACACACCCAGGCACACACAGACAGGACGCACAATCAGCAAAAGTCAACGTTATATAAACATATTGATTTTGCCCGCCTGGCAACCGGCGAACCGACGGAAGCCCAGGCAAATAAGTAACAAATAAATAAATAAAATATGTAAAAAACGAATGCATATGCTTTACATATATTGACATATATATATACGCACCGATTTTGGCTATGCTCGCCGAAAGTATCCAAATGCCAATTATGAACGGCGTCTTGACCCGCGCAAAGTCCACCTGGGAGAGCGGATAACGTTCCGTGTGATGATGTGCCTCGTCCGTCTCATCGTCGAGCGACACATCGAACAAATCCTTCTCAATCTTCGCATCACCCGTCAGCGGTTCGGCTTTGGGCAGAGCCGGAGAAGCAGCTGTTGATGCTGGTGCCGCTGTCGTCTGAGGCAGCTGAAGTAAGATTTTGGAAAAGATTTGTATTGTTTTGTATTGTATCTAAGCAACCCCTTCCGCTAACATGGCAAATATTTCCAGCTACATTTATTTTTTAAATAATCCCCCAACTATCCGCAACTATTTAGGATAGATAACCTTTTAACTTCAATTCTCTGTGCTATTTCACTATCTTAACTGCCTCATAGAGAAAGCCTGCTCCAATTACAGTCATAGTAAATATTACATATATCTTTTCTGCCAACTGTCTAAACACTTTGTCTGATGGATGTGCGATTCAGTCAACAGTTGGCGTCAGCTGAAACTTTTGGTAATAACTCATGACAAGCGACATTTCTAACTTTTGTTGAGCTTCTGGCCTGGTCAATTACCATAATTAGAGGCAATTTTGCTTGCTGTGTTCGAATCGAAATGGCTAAAACTTAACGACAGTTGAATGCCAGTCCGAGCCCTGACATTTCCTGGGGGCACAAAACCAGTGTTGTCAAGTTTTGAGTTGCAAAAAATACTCTAATCAAAAAAATGCTTCAAACAGCTAATCCAAGAAAGCCTTTTTGTACCTCTTAACGGAATAAATAATCACGTATTTTATAACACTGCTTATTTTGAAATAATTCGCACACAATAGTGTTGGAAAACGCTGCCATTTTTAGCTTAGGAACAACAACCTCAAGTTATGCAAGGATTTATTTTTGTATTATATAAGAAAAGGAAATTGTAATAAAATGATAAAATATAGTGTTGAAAAACGCTGCAGTTATTTACAGCTTAGGAATGGAAGGCTCATGAAGCAAATACCAAGAAATTTGTACAATAGTGTTGAAAAACGTGATAATCTCCAACAGTTTAAGAATGGAAGACTCAATAGCTAGCTACTCATAGATAGCTGAGAAATAATAATATTTTTGTTTAGCCAGAAACTATTTTGCATGCATTTTACTCAATTTAAGAAAAGTAAATTATGAAGAAGTGAATCGCAAACAATTTTAATTCCGGTGTTGAAAAACGCTGCATACTTTGCGAGCTTAGTAAAGGAAAACTAAATACTTGGTTAGGTATTTTTAATCCACTAAGAACAAGAATGCAATTAGTTGAAAAGCACTTTGTAGGGATAAAGGAAAATAGGCAATAGCTCGCATTCGGCTCTTAAATAATAAAAATTAAAAAATGCGTGGAAACTTGCGTCGAGCTGCCTCTATAAATGTGTAGTATATATGTATGTTTATATATTTGTATGTAATATATGTATGTTTCCCACACTATCTATGGGAATCGCATTCCAGACTATCTTCGGTTCTTATAGTCCGATCTGTATGAAATTTTCAGGGCTTCAACTTGGCAATCTACAATTGTACAAATACTTATACTCAACAATATACATAAATCGCTTTGGCGTTATCCAAAACAACTTGCAAATATTGTTTTATTAAACAAAAATGTAGAGAGAGAGAAGGGCGGAAATGAGAGCTCGTCTGCCATTGATGAGCTGATCGTAATTACATTTTCAGCTCCTACTTATCTAATTTTTCAGCTATTCTTAAAAAACCCACAGAAGAATATCGTAATTAAATTTCCATACTTACGTTTAGCTGCGTGACGGCATCCGCTGGCTTGGCGCTGGAGGCGGAACTGGAGCTGGAGCTGGAGCTGCTGCTGGAGGCGCTAACATTGGGACGTGCCTCGATGCTGGTCAGCAAAATGCAAATGCCGCACAGCAGCAGCAACAGTTGCCGCTGCCAGCTGCCGCCCGGACTGAATCTTGGCCGTTTGCTCGGTGGAGATTGGGTTGTTGTTGTTGTTGTTCTTGGTGGTGCGGGTGGCAGACGGAGCACGCTTTGATTAGGAGTCATTGGCTTAGCCGGCTGACAAGCTGTTGCCACGGGCAATTGAATTTCTATAGCATTAAGGGAACTTGGACTTGAACTGGAGCTGGGTCTGGTCGGGCAGCTGCTCCAGCAGGCGCGCCGGGCGAGGTTCATTTGTTGTTGCAGCGCCGGCGTCGCGCTGTCGTAATCCTTTTCCGTCCGGCTCACCATGCTCATGCTCTGGGCTTTTGTTGACTTAGGTTGTTTATATTAGCTGCGACTGCGACTCGGTACACGGCTGAGTTATTGATTTTAGCGGGCATAATATACGCTAGGTGCGAGTTTACTTTGTGTGTTGTCTTTTGCCGTCCGTATTTGAGCACAATTTGCCGAGTGTCTGTAAGTAGAAAATTAAACAAAACGTTAAACGGGGTTTGCCAAAGAACAACTAGGAGCAGCAAGTACATAGAGCATAATAATATCTAGTCATTAAATTGAGGCGTCAAATTGGGTTTGGCCAAAAACAAGGAATTCCCGGAATTGACGCACTTCCTATCAGGAGAAGGCACGTTATTTCTGAGAAATTAAAGGAATAGAGTTCCTGCTAAATAAATGTAGCCAACAAGTAGGAAATCGAAAATGCAGAAAGTAATTGAAATTCTGACAAATAAAGTACTTGAAAATTCTACGAAGTAACCAAGTAAACACGTTCGAAGAACTTCATAAGAACTGGGATCTTAAAATGGGTACAAAGTTGTCAACAAGGTGACTATTCCTTGTATCCTCTTCTCAAGTTCCACTCTTCTTAAGAACAATTACATTTTAAGTTGAAAAACTTAAGTGCAAAATTCAATTTAATACGTTGTGCACTTTTATTAAGAACTTGAAAATGCAAACTCTTGTATAAAGTCAAGCATAATTAAAATTATTTAAAACATATTTGAGATCGAAATTTGTAAGAAACAAATTTAATAGAAATAAATGAAAAATAAATACAAATAAAATAAATAAAAAAAAATATATATATAAATAATTTTCTACGACTTTTTTCTCCAGGAATGAAAAGCTTACCTGCCAGCAGAAATCGAGCAGAAGAACTTTTAAGTTCCTTCCAAAATTGTTACCTAGCTGAAACTTATCTCACAGGATCCTTTCTCAATATTTGTCTATTCCGTTCTCTGTTAAAAATAGGCTGTTTAACGCTTCCAACCTAACCTATCCTAATCGAACTGCTTATCGGGCCGCATTAAACGACCGACCTGCCGCAATAACCAACGGAAACTGGTTAATATCCAGTAAATTCACTTAGCATGAAAACTCGCACATTAAACGGCAGCTGTTTGTCCAGAGCACAGCCAAAAGCCTGGCAGACAATAAAAAAATGTGCTAAAATCACGCATAACCCAAGAATTAAATCTTTCACTCAGCTCACGGGTAAGAATTGGCGCCATATCATTTACGGTCTAAATGGCAGTAGTAGGAGTTTATGATGTGAGGAAATAAGATATAATAGAACTCTGTGTATGAAAATTAAAGTTATCTGTATATCATCGAGCTCTTTGTATTAAAATTAAAACCCAGCTGAAGACCCATTTTTCTTTACCGGCTAAGAATTGGATTAGACTTTTGTGATATATTATTATATATTATCTCCCTTCTAATTTTCCAATCAATTGCAATCTTAAGTTTGATTTCCGAACAGGTTAGGAAAATGTTAACATTAAAAGTTATTTCATTTTCTATCTATTTCATAATTTATTTAAATTGCATGGCTTCTTAAAATTCTCAAGCAGTTTAAACCTTAACCTTAACCCCAACATACTATACGGATCTTGAAGCTTTAGGAAGGGTTTCTTTGCGGAAATCTTTAATCAGCTTTGATTATAAAATATTTTAAAACCATATATAAAATACTTTTACTATTAACTGCCTGCTAAATGTTACTGAAGTTTCCAATTTTTCTTCGATAAATGATCTTGCCTTTGTGCTAGTCCAATTTTTACTACACACCTCTCTCTTTTAGTTAATTTCCACTGTTAATTGGCAATCAATTTAAATGTTAAACAGATTGTTGGAATTTTGGCCAGCTTAACGTTTAATCGATCGTTAAATATTGAAATTATGAGTTATTTGGACTTTTAACTGGATAGATCCAGTGCACTTAGCGCCATGCTAAATAAGATACCACGTGTTAATTGTATTTAAAATAAGAGCTAAATAAACAACCAGATGTCTTCGCTTTACCTTTCCTTTTATTGGTTTGTTTTTTTTGTTTGTGTTTTTTTTTTTTGGTTGGCTATCAGCGCCAAAGATAAGCGAACATTTTAATTGGGCGCAAACGCCGCAAAGTAGCTGCTGATAGCAATAACAATTGTTACAGCTCGCTCTCATTACAGACGCGTCTATCTATAAAGTCGGCACAGAAGATAAAGCGACCAACATCGTACGATTATTATACTAGATGCCAGGGTAAAAATCATCTTGTTGCAGTCAAGTGCAATGTCGCGTTGACACGATCAATTGGCTCGTTTTCCCATTTTTCCAATAACTATGCAATTTGCCATCAATTGAAAACGGAATTTACTTACATATTATTATTATTATTATTATTATTTCGCAAGCATTGACCCTCAATAATGATTTATTATTGCCGCCTCATGATATTCTATCATTATACCCTTGCATAGGGTATTATGCATCTGTCAACAAATAGGGCAGACATTGTAGGAAATATCTGCGAGTCAACGTGTTTATATTCCACGTTTGATGCTTGTTACTACGTATATAATATATAAAAGTCGACTGGCCGGTTCTTAATTATATCATACTACAGTTAAAATGGGAAACTTTGAGACTTTAAACTATAAATATATGTTATCTAGCTTAAAATATTCAGAGCAGAAGGGCCATCATTATATCAGTACCGCCTCCTATATTATGTATAATATCGATTTTGAAACAGAGTTTTTTAAGCATAACTCAAGGATTTATACAATAACGGTTAGTATCTACAGATGAGAACTATATATCATATTTTAGATATCTTTCCCATTTCTTCCTATAATTGTAAAAAAATAGATCTTTAGCAATATAGTCTTGGACTTTAGTATTTACGCACATTCATAGGTCGTTTCATGAAGATCGGACTATAATTATCAAAGTAAACCAGGGACGCAGTTCCCATGTAAGGCTATAGCCGAAGGAAGAAGAGGCACATATGTGTGTATTTTCATGCATATATGTATAGAGAATGAATGCTTGTTTAGAGCATCTTCCAGTCGGGAATTCCTGACTGGTCGGGCCCTCTCACTTGTTTTAAACGCCAATCGCGTGCGTCAAAGTCCATTTACTACCTTTATTATCTAACCACAATTGTCTTCTAAATTGATTTACCCCCTAACCCAATTCAGTGGGTCCGTCAGTTGGCCAAAGTGCTGATTAGATGAACAAGCGACAGGCAGTCGGCAGACAGGTAAACACCAACTAAAAACATTTTCAAGTTCAGTGGCTTTGATATAAAATAGTTAACCAACCACTTAACCGGATTTAACCGGCAGTCAAAAGCGTTAAGCAGCTTATGATTATATTTATAGGAGCACTTGACGTGAACTACTTGAACCCAGCCACTGTTTGTTTGCAGCATAGAAAATTAAATAAGCGAGAGTGGTCGACTAGGGAGTGGCTAAATAGGGGAGACCCCAAGCCCAGCACAGAGCTGTCATTGCAAGCATTCGATTATTTTTCTATACATACCAAATAGTAAACACATATACAAAAAACGATGCATACAGGCATACATACATGCATGCATACATACACACATACATACACACATACATACATGCATACATCCATACATCCATACATACATACATACATACATACCTACATACATACATACATACATACATACATACATACATACATACATACATACATACATACATACATACATACATACATACATACATACATACATACATACATACATACATACATACCTACATACCTACATACCTACATACCTACATACCTACATACCTACATACCTACATACCTACATACCTACATACCTACATACCTACATACCTACTTATATACTTACATACCTACAGACACCTCCTGCTCCTCCGGCTCCTCAGCACCCAGCGTTGGGCGGCTGTCCGTGCCTAATTCATTGGTGAAGCCTGCAGACCCTACTTAAATTTTTGAGAATCGAGGAGAAGGGCAGCTTTAATAAATATGTTTTCTTATTTAAAGTTGCTGCGCAACAAGACAAATTGGTCTGCTGTTGGTTGATAAGACAACTTACATGCATACATACATACATATATATGCACATACATACATACACACACGCACACACATACATACAAACATGCAGGCCCCATAACTCGGTCAAATCTCATCCGATTTTCATAAGGTTTGGCTTTTTGTTAATGATTTGGCCTCATAATTAAATTGGCATCAAAATCCGGCAACATAATTTTGGATCGAAATTCATGTGGAAATTGTACCCCAAACTATTCTATATAGACATAGGTCTAAAGTACCCACCCCCATAAATTGGTCAAATCTCATCCGATTTTCATAAGGTTTGTCTTTTTGTTCATGGTTTTGCCTCATAATCAAATTGGCATCAAAATCTGCCAACATAATTTTTGGTCGAAATACATGTGAAAATTGTGCCCTCAAATATCCTATATCGACATGGATCAATATTTCCCACCCCCATAACTTAGTCAAATCTCATCCGATTTTCACGAAGTTGGGCGTTTTGTTCATGATTTGGTCTCATAATCAAATTGGCATCAACATCTGGCAACATAATTTTTGGTCGAAATTCATGTAAAAATTGTGACCTCAAATATCCTATATAGACATAGGTCCAAATTTCCCACCCCCATAACTTAGTCAAATCTCATCCGATTTTCACGAAGTTTGGCGTTTTGTTCATGATTTGGTCTCATAATCAAATTGGCATCAAAATCTGGCAACATAATTTTTGGTCGAAATTCATGTAAAAATTGTGACCTCAAATATCCTATATAGACATAGGTCCAATTTTCCCACCTCCATAACTCAGTCAAATCTCATCCGATTTTCACGAAGTTTGGCGTTTTGTTCATGATTTGGTCTCATAATCAAAGTTGCATCAAAATGTGGACACATCATTTTTGGTCGAAATTCATGTGAAAATTGTGCCTTCAAATATCCTATATAGACATGGATCAATATTTCCTACCCCCATAACTTAGTCAAATATCATCCGATTTTCACGAAGTTTGGCGTTTTGTTCATGGTTTTGCCTCATAATCAAATTGGCATTAAAACGTGGCAACATAATTTTTGGTCGAAATTTATGTATAAATGGTACCCCTAAATATCCTATATAGT